TGACACGAACTAATTCTTATAACAAATTCAACATGAATCCAATGAATGACACGAACTGATTCTCATAACAAGTTTAACATGAATCCAATGAATGACACGAACTGATTCTCACAACAAGTTTAATATGGATCCAATGAATGACACGAACTGATTCTTATAACAAGTTTAACATGAATCCAATGAATGACACGAACTGATTCTCACAACAAGTTTAATATGGATCCAATGAATGACACGAACTGATTCTCACAACAAGTTTAACATGAATCCAATGAATGACACGAACTGATTCTCACAACAAATTGAACATGGATCCAGTGAATGACACAAACTGTTTTTACAACACTGTCTATGTGTTTTTAGTAATTAATAATAATGTTTACAAGAATGTTTTTGTTTTGCTTACACTAGTTTTGACAACTTAAAATGAATTCTTTTTTCATCACATCTGGCTGAATATAACTTACTTGGTGAAGATTTCGTCGGTGACGCCACTCCATTTTTCACCGGGACTTTTTTCGGGGAACGCGTTAGCTTCTTTGGCATGGAAGCAGAAGTCTGAAATCAATTGAAAAACTTTTTGTTAATCTGATTATTATGGTGTGCACAAAATAAAATCAGCACCTTATAGTTGTAGTTTCATTTTAACAGACTCAATGAAATATATGAAAGGTAATTTATTTTCTTGGCAATAAAAAATTACATCATATTTATAAAAAATAAATAAAATAAATACAAGAAAAAAGTAAAACCAGAAGTGCTGTTTACTTTAAATGAAAAACAATTGAACTCACATCATTAATAACGGTTTCATTACAATAATAAAACAGTGTAATAATAAACAATCCCTTTAACAGCTCAGACTAAAACTAATGGAACTCACATCATTAATAACGGTTTCATTACAACAATAAAACAATGTAATAATAAACAATCCCTTTAACAGCTCCGACTAAAAACAATGGAACTCACATCATTAATAACGGTTTCATTACAATAATAAAACAGTGTAATAATAAACAATCCCTTTAACAGCTCCGACTAAAAACAATGGAACTCACATCATTAATAACGGTTTCATTACAATAATAAAACAGTGTAATAATAAACAATCCCTTTAAAAGTTCCGACTAAAAACAATGGAACTCACATCATTAATAACGGTTTCATTACAATAATAAAACAGTGTAATAATAAACAATCCCTTTAAAAGTTCCGACTATATTTAACCTTTATTTATATAGCTGTCAGTGGTGGACAAACTTTAGCTCTGTTTCAGCAACATTACACAAACTTTAGCTCTGTTTTAGCAACATTACACAAACTTTAGCTCCGTTTTAGTACCATTACACAAACTTTAGCTCCGTTTTAGCAACATTACACAAACTTTAGCTCTGTTTTAGCAACATAACACAAACTTTAGCTCCGTTTTAGCAACATTACACAAACTTTAGCTCTGTTTTAGCAACATCACACAAACTTTAGCTCCGTTTTAGCAACATTACACAAACTTTAGCTCCGTTTTAGCAACCTTGTTCATTTTATCCACACTTTCCGATTATCTCCAAATGAAAACCATTACAAATCCGTCTCTTATAACACTGAGTATTAAAACAAGAAATAACCTTCTTGTAGTGTTGATGTCGAACTGAACTGGATACTATTCATACTTCTCGTAAATACCAATACTATCTGGGATTGGCCAAATAAAGGATTCTTCGGGGTTAGGGATGTGGGGGTGGACAAATTTGAAAATTAATCAAGCAAGCCAAATTAATCAAGGAAACCGTGGAGTCTGGGGGCATGGTCCCCAGTCAATTTTTATAGTTAGGTTGATGATTTGAGCTTATTTTAACGTAGTTGCAGCCAGGAAATGGTAGAAATCAGGGACGAGTGAACTTTACGTGATAATAAACAACTTACAACACCTTCCCTTTTTATCTTTATGTGATAATAAACAACTTACAACACCTTCCCTGTTTTATCTTTATGTGATAATAAACAACTTACAACACCTTCCCTTGTTTATCTTTATGTGATAATAAACAACTTACAACACCTTCCCTTGTTTATCTTTATGTAATAATAAACAACTTACAACACCTTCCCTGTTTTATCTTTATGTGATAATAAACAACTTAAAACACCTTCCCTGTTTTATCTTTATGTGATAATAAACAACTTACAACACCTTCCCTTGTTTATCTTTATGTGTTGTGTGAAACGGTACGTCGATTTATCTTAACAGTGTCATACATATCATTGAAAACAGACCTCGTAAAATAAAATAAAGTCCTAAATTAGATTTTTAATATATATATATTTGAAAAGACAGATTATCTTATGAATACTATACATTTGACCTGTTTGATGTTTTCATAAAAATTTTCTACTTACTTCTGACGGTTTCTGAGTTTTGACTTCAGAGAGCTCATCTACACAGGAATAACAACGTACCTCGTTATTTAGAAAAGAAACTAAAACCTAAACTGTCTTAAGATAAATACATTAACTGTTTGATTCCTATGAACTCTATTAATACATGTATAACGTACCTTGTTATTTAAAAATGAAACTAAAACCTAAACTTTCTTAAGATAAATACATTAACTGGTTGATTCCAAGGAACTTTATTAATACATGTATTACTTCTTATTCAAATTATGTTCAATAAATTGAAAGGATAATGAAAACACGGGGGCGTTCCTACATATACGTCATGTTTTTGTTCTTATGAACTATTATACTTAAGTAATCTATAGAGAAAGAAATTAGACAAAAATTATATTACAATTAAAAAAATGTTGTAGAAGATTATAAGTGGGAAAAATGGGAAAGAAGAATGTATATAAATATTATTTATATTTATTATTTGGTTAATGTGAATGGGAAGAGGCCAAATTCACCCATTTATTATTTGGTTAATATGGATGGGAAGAGGCCAAATTTACCCATTTATTATTTGGTTAGTGTGAATGGGAAGAGGCCAAATTCACCCATTTATTATTTGGTTAATGTGAATGGGAAGAGGCCAAATTCACCCATTTATTATTTGGTTAATGTAAATGGGAAGAGGCCAAATTCACCCATTTATTATTTGGTTAATGT